AAAAAAAGGAATTAAGAATAGACCACATGACCCACAAACAGCAGCAATCAAAAACAAGGTCAGAGAATGCTCCCAACTCATTGCCCTCAAGACCTGTGGTCTGAGTGGTTCTAGGATCAGGCAGAACTGGGACTTTATTCGCTCACTGCCATGGAGTCCATTGCGATTCACAGCGACCCCTCCCTAGGTTTCCCAGGCAGTATCTCTATGGAAGTAGATTGCCCAACCTTCCTCCAGAGGAGTGGCTGGTGGGTTTGAACCATCAGCCTTCTGCTTAGCAGTCAAATGCCTTAGGCACTATGCCACCCGAACTCCTGGACCCCTATTAGGCATGTACGATTTACAACAACAACAACAACAAATGTAATCAAATGCACGCACTTAGAAAACAAAGTACTTGACAAAGGGTCCATTTTACTGCCCCCTACTGTTTTTGTGCCAGTCTTCTTATTGGATGAAAACAAATCGCCTCTATTCCTGTTGCCGGACTCATAGCGACCCCTCCTTGGGTTTCTGAGTTATCACTACGGAAGTAGATTGCTCAACCTTCCTTCAGAGGAGTGGCTGGTGGGTTTGAACTGCCAGCCTTCTGGTTAGCAGTCAAGTGCCTTAGGCATTATGCCACCAGAGCTCCCGCCTCTACTCCTGTTATTTGCCATCGAGTCGGGCCCCGACTCCTAGCGACCCCTCCTTGGGTTTCCGAGGCAGTTATCACTACGGAAGTAGGATTGCCCAACCTTCCTTCCGAGGAGTGGCTGGTGGGTTTGAACCGCCAGCCTCCTGGTTAGCAGTCAAGTGCCTTAGGCACTATGCTACCAGAGCTCCTCCTCTACTCCTAGTGTTAGTAAATATCCACTGGGCTCATCTTTTCTTTTCTTTTTTTTTCCCAAGCAGCAGCTCCAACTCATCAAGGACATGAGGTTGTTCCTTGCTCTCCCATCCCCATTCCTTATGATAACACTTTCCCAAAAGACAAAAGCTTAAATCTCCTTTGGGCACATCTCACTACCCCACTTTGGAGGGAGAGGGAGGTTTCAGTCAGGTCCTTGTTTAATTTTAAGAATTTTAACCAAAATTCTGCTTTAGAAACAACATTCCAAACTTTTAAAATAAAGCCATCGCCTCCAGGGTTCCCAGGCCCAATTGGGAACCAAAGTGCACCGGCCCAGGGTTGTCCTGGGTCTCCGTGGTCCGCGCGACCTGGCGCTCTCCAGTTTGGGCTGCCTCCCGGGAGCGCACCAGCACTTTGCATTTAATCTGCCTGGAGAGCGTAGCTTTCAGGTTCCATCCCTGTGAGCCATTATTACTTCTCTCCAGACGTCAGAGACAAATCTGGATTAACATGCAACACAGCGCCCAGTGCAGGCCGCCAGCCCTAGCCCAAGCACTTTTAAATGCAGATTCAGCCGAGAATCACCCCCACACACACCTCCTCACCCCCCAGGGAACGGCTGTTGAATAAAGACTCTAATCCAAAGGGACCGTTTCTGTGCCTTGTAGGGCGAATCAAGGCCCGTGCTGGTGGCCGAGTAGAGGCCAGTTAGTCCCAGCTCTCTACAGACAGGCGTGAGCACCCCGGGAAGCGGCCTTAGGGGCCCGGAAACTGTGCTTTTCTTTCTACTCCCTCTATTGACCCTTCTGGGAGTTGAAAACGTTTAGATTCAGGAAGCGATGAGCAACAGACAACCCTGGAAGGCTTCATTCGACAACTGCTACATGCAGCGCAATTCAAAATCTAACGCCTGTGTGGCCAAGATCTTCCTGGCCTTGCTCCTCGCAGCGCCCCCAACTCCACCCTACGCCCCTCAACACTCTCCCCTCCTGCCTTCGGACCCGTGACCTTTCCCTTCGCCAACAAGGCGGAACACTCGCCTCGACGCCTCGCGCCGCGGTGCCCTTCTACACCCGCAACCCGGTCCTTGGCCCACCAGGAGGGCAGAACAGCTCTGCGCCTTTCGCTGCCCCCAGCCCGAAGGGGGTGGGAGCAGCTGTGCGGAGTAGGAAGCGCCGCTGTCGGGAGAGGGCGCCCGGGAGGCCCGAGCCAGCCGAATGAGGCACTCAGGCCAGGGGCCTCAGGGTGGCCTCCAGTACAGGGTTCGGGAGTAAGGGACGGGATCATGGCTTCTAGTGGCGTCTAAATCTGATAAAAGCTCCCCCAAACCAACAACACTAAGAGGACAAATGGATTTCCGCCGATTTAGCCCTCTTGGAAACACGCTGACATCAAGTTAGTCTATACCAGGTCTCCGAGCGGGTGGCAACCTTCGCGCCCTCCGAGGAAAACAAGTGAAGTGACATAAACCTTGCCACGAGTAGACCCCAGAGGCACAGGAGCTAACGAGCTAACGAGGCCCCCCGTTCGCACCACACCTGTAGCAGTCCAGTCTCCGAGGGCACCTTTTGCAGAACTTCAAACTGGCCGGGCCTCATTGGCAGATTGGTGGAGAGGCTGTCCTTTTGGGACCTAGTTCCCAGGGCGCTGCACTTGGGGTCCAGAGTCCCCAAGGGTGAACGAGTAGATTCCAGTAGAGACAACTGATGTTTTTGGTGCGACCCTGGCGCCTCATCCTTAGCTTCCCACCTTCCTAGGTAGGGGGAGCCCACCCTGCGCCCAAGGGTGAGCAGGTTTTTGTGGGCACAATCCAACGTACGTCCCGCACTCTCCGTTCCTCTCTCCAAAACTGACCTAGCCATGCTTGCTCCTGGCTCCTGGGAGCCGGACAATTAAAAGGAGGAAGCTTGGGTTTGCTGCTCTCCCACCAACTAAGACCTGAGTGAGCCCGCAGGATCAAGCGAGAGCGCCTACGCCCGTAGGCCCAGAGCGTCCCGAGCTCAGCATGTGGCGTCCCTACCAAAGCTGCGAAGCCTACTTTTAACAGGCCGGGGACAAGAGATATACCCCAAACGGCTTTCCATTTTATAGGTAGAGGAGGAAAATAAAATGAGCATTTTAAGCTAATACAATTGCACACCAATCTTTGTGTATCTCAAATTAAGGTAATTGGATAACAAAAGTTTACAGAAGGAGTATGGGGAGAACTCAATGATGTCATATCAATTTTGTATTCCCCCCTAAAAAGAACCCCATAACTTTGGTCCTTTATCTTAGACTTTAATAAAATAATGATTCGTTGAGAAAATGGGGTATAAATCTTCATTTTGGAGGCAATTAAAGTGTTGATTTCATTCATGCCCCTAAGCGATTCTTGTAATTTGCACAAATAGCTTTATGTACCCAGCACTCCGGAGCCTTTAGAATCCCATTTTCTAGTTAGGCTTGTTGGATTACAATTTTTATTCAACAGCAGCTACCCGAGGGTTCCTCTACTGAATCTGCATTTAACAGCTCCCGGGCGAGATCTGGCGGGCTGAACCAGGCTCCAGGCCCGGCAGCCCGAGGGGCTGGGACAGCGAGCCGCCGACAGCTTTCCTAGCTCGGCCAGACCACTCGAGGATTTCTCAGGCTCCTTGTTGTGTGTGCTCGTCTATACTGCCGAAAGTTTGCAACTCGCCAAATAATAATGAACACCCGGAGTGGAGTGTTGACGCTGGTAAAGCTCAGCCTTGCCTGCCCCACTTAAACTTGAGTAAAGTAGGAATTGAGCTTCTGTCTTGGGGTCTCTCAGAGACACCTCGCCTGGGTTTTAAGAGGGCAATACTGAGAGAAGAAAATTTTAAGATGACACCAAGATCGAGGGAACGGGCATTCTGGCGAGGACCCGACTAGACAGTCACTGGCCAATCGGGATCATTACAAATCTAGCAAAAGAAAACTGCCGGCCAGGCTGGCCTTTGGCTTAACAAAGGCGAGCTGATCTCTCCCCCAAGACGGGATTCACGTGCCAAGTCAGAAAGAGAAACAACTCTGGACCTTCACTTCTTCATGGGGGCTGGAGAAGGCTCGCAACACAAATGTCCAGACGCGTTGCAACAATTCGCAACAGAGAGCTGTCCTGGGCCCTGTTTCATCTCACCCACTCCTCATGTTTCCTCTTTCAATGCCTTTTTGCAACTCCTTTGGACCAATACTGAGACACAGCGACAAGAGAGAGCGAGACACAGGGAGCAAAGAGTGATGTTGGGGTGAGAGAGCAATCTCCCCAGCAACTCCAAATAAAAGTCATCCCCACTTAGCAACGCAGCGGAAGAAGGGTCTGGAGGGAGCACAGGAAAGGAGGGGGCGCAGCAAGCAAAGAACCAGCAGGATAGAGCAAAAGGGCCGAGTCCCCACCCGCCACAGCGCCACATCGAGGGAGCCGCCGGGGTGCCCTGACGCTGACACTTCCAAAAGCTGCCAACCCAGCGGGCCCAGAGCACGTACCAGCTGGAGGATGAATGCAAAGGACGACGAGAAAGTCCATATTTATCTGTTTTTATAACCTCGGCCTGGTCTTATTTTTTCTATTAAGTACAATAAAATGGGCGAGCTTGCAGCGGGCACTGCACAAAGCAATGTTCAGTGAGGTCTAGAAGCGCTCGGCCGAGGAAAACTGACAAGACAGGCTAATGAACCGTATAGACAGGGAGAAAATAGCCAGCATTTGCTAGATTTCAAACCCTCGCTGTCTCTCTTAGACCACCTATCTTGGATTTATTCCTAATAAAATAAGAAATAAGCAGACCCTACACTTTTCTTTGAGATGGAAAAGGGGGGGGGGATGCTCTTGAACAAAGCCCTACAATCAGAGGCGGTCACTGGCAGTTAACACTCCCATTATTACAGAGGGTAAATAAAATAAAGACAAAAATTAAAAGCGACAAGAAACAGGTCAAGTTTGCAGGCAAAGCTTTTACAAGCTCATCTCTACAGGTCGAATCCCAGAGCCAGTCTTAATGAAGCAATAATAGCCACATTATTCAAAAATTTTCATTTCGATGGAAATGTATCTAAAAGGGACTTAATCATATGCAAATAATAAAAGGAGGTGGTAGTGACCCAGCAAGCAATATGCATACAGATTTTTTCCCCCCAGGGATTTTGAGGATTGAAAAGCGCATACCTGGTCGGTTAGATTTGCTGATCTTGTTATATCTTCACTGTCTGATTTTGATCCTCCTTCTCTATCGTCTATCACCAAATCGATAGGCATTTTCCCTTTCAAACAGCTAATATACCGGTGGCAGAAATTGTCACATAATTCGTGTACCTACATTATGACAGAAATAAAAAAAATGGAAATATAATCAGGAGTGCATAAATGACATTGACAAGTGCAACCCACCCCCTTGTGAGATCCAAACTTCCAAATAGAGGAAACACAGGGCAATTGTCCTCTAGAGACCCCCATACGCATCCAGAATTAGGAATAACTTTCTTTTCTTGCAAAATAGAGATATCCCAGAAAATTGACAGTGACAAGATGATTCACAGGCTACAACATATTCAACACCCGTGTTAAATTCATCTGCTCCCGGGGCTGTGGCCATTAGAGAGGTGACCTGCGTGGGTGACTTTTAAGGTAAACTATTTTATTTCATCCAGTTCCTTTATCATAAACCCTTTTCCAAATTATCTAAGGAAAAAATGCAAAGATATATATACATATACACACACATACACACATACATTCATACATAGCCAATACTGTGGTCGCATAGTTGTCTGACAACTCAAGTTCCTATAACATTTGTAACTGGGATTTCTATCCATAAGGAGCATATAATAGGATACTATCTTTAAGAAACAAAAAGAGAGAGAGAGAGATAAGAAGAAGAAGGAGAAGGAGAAGGAGAAGAGAAGGTGAAGGAGAAGAAGGAGGAGGAAATCAAAGTGCCAATACCTGTGATGCCAAAAAACCTACAGCCAGAACAACGTATCAAATTGATTTTTTTTTTTTTTAGGGGGAAAAAAAAAGGCCTCAAAATACTTAGGTGTAAGTGGAAAGGTCTCTTACAGGCCCCAGGCATCATTGACATGCAAAATTTCACAAGAAATCCCAGAGTGCTTGAAATTTAATGTTAGTTTGAATTACAATGCATTAAGTTTTTATTGCTGAGATTTATAGAACAGCTAGCAAAATCACGTTATCCCACACCCTCTTCCTTGAGTATGAAGGTGGGGTGTGTGCAGGATTCACAGATTCAAGAAATTGACACAACTATCAACTCTGCTTTGTCTCTGCAAAACGTTTACTGTCCCTCCCCCACCACCTCCTCCAGACTCCCCGCTTGCTCCTCCTCCCCCTCAGCCTCTCCTCTGTGCCTGACCTGCCGCTGCTCTCAGACTGTCTTCCAGAAACTCACTAAACTAAACAAAACTTTTTTTCCCTTTCAGAGGTAGCAAAGAAGAGGAGGAAGAGGAAGAGACCAGAACATATAGGTATAACTTGTGAAGCAAACTTGCAACAGCATTCAGAACAACTGGGGTGCATAGAATTCCAACTATTTACACAAAGCCAGCAAGGTATTAAGAATGAACACAAGTCTAGAGCATTTGTGATCCGATTTTAGTGGCTGAAATTGTAATTAAACTGGGAAGAGAAATGGACGCTAAGATTGGCCTTGACACTAATTACCAGAAAGAAAGACATTTATGCAAATGTCCCAGAAGCCTGAACTTCAGCCATTCTGAACCCTCCCCTGTGTGTATTTTGGGAGTGATCGAGAAACAATAGGTAAGGGGGTAGAGAAATTACCTTCTCTAATTCCAACAGATGAAACCTCAATACTTGTATGGCTTGAATCATCTGCAAAGATACAAAAAGAATGAGCACCCCATTCCTGGTTTGCAGAAGATTGGCTGTCACAGCTCTAGGATCTCCAGCCCACCATCTCCCCCCCCAGTAAACAGAGTTATTTTGATTTATGGCAATAACACTAAAACTTAATAGCAGAGACTGGGTACCATCTAGAGGTTTATATTTCTTAAGGAGAAAAAATAGCTAAAACAACAACAAAGCATCTAAGTGGGAATCATAAACACTCTCCTCCACCACTCTGCCCTCTCTCAGTCCCTCTCTTTGAGAGGGGGGGTCCCTCTCAAAGGGCCACATCCCTGGACTCTATTTTTCCTTGAAAGGGGTGGACAGAAAATATTCCAAATCGTGGCTTCTCACATTAAAACTTCCTGCTGCTCGCCGCACACCTTTCAGGCAAAATTAGTTGTTTAGAGGCTCTGGCCTGGTCGCTGCCCTTGTGACGCGACTCTGAGGGCTGCGGAGTCCGCAAAGTTTAAGCACACACGCTGACAGGCCCAGAGATAAATCCCCGCGCTGATTAGAGCTACGCAGCCCGGCTGTCATAAAAAACAAAAGCTCGCGTTTCCCCGCGCCGGCTTGCCCGGCCCCTCTCGAGATGAATTTATTTCCCCGGGATCTTGTCCCAGACCACTTGTCCGTGGACAGAAACATTGGCAGCCGACTTGCAGCTACGGGAAGACCCGTCTAGAAACTCAGGTCTCTCAAAGCAAAGCTGGGGGTGCTGGGTGGGGAGATGGGGTGGGAAGGATAAGGGGTCCGCTCTTACCAAGTTATCCAGTTCTGGATTAGAAGAAAATAAAGGTTTTTCTGCGCGAATCTAAATACAAGTGAGAAAGGGAAGAGGAGAGAGGAAAAAAGAAAGAAAAATTGAAATCTAGTCGCTTCTCCTAGTTTCTTGCCTCATTACACTGTCGGGGGCAGCAAGTACCATCGGGGATGAGCTCGGTGGCACCGAGTTCGTCCAGCGCAGAAACACTTCAACGTGAATCAATTAAGCCGAAAACGCCTCAGAGCTCTCTCAGTCTTACTTCTAGTAGCAAGGATTCTTTAGGACGTTGAGCAGGTCGCCAAATCCAAAGCAACCACTACGCGTGGTGTTTGCGTTTTATTTTATTGAATGAGCTTTCTGTGTTAGGCTGTCCTGGGTGAGTGGGATTGCATACGGTTATTTAAACATAATCCGCAAACACACACTCCTATGGGAGGGACATCTCAGGGTAGGTGAAATGTTTCTGGCTTGGAGTGGACTATTTTTGTTAGCTACTTTGCAAAATGTGTTGGGTGTTGGGGCGCTCTTTTTTCTTTTTCTTTTTAAACGTTTATTTTGCTGACCTGTTTGGCGAAAACGGCTATATCTTCATTGAATGATTCTGACGAGCAGACGTCCCCGCCCGCCACCCCCGGCTCGCGGGGGGTACAAGTAGCTAATTCACATTTCTCAAAAATCAGTGCTAAGAGAGGGAAGAGGGGGTGTCTGCAAGAAAATACAAGTCACAAACAACACAATGGTTAGTCCCCAGTCACTGGAAAAGGCACCCAAGAAAAATAGCCAGAGGAACTATAGGCAGGGACCCCTACCCTGATTTTGACATTTACTTTTTTCTTTTCCCTTCCCCCCACCCGGGTGACTGCTCACCTCCCCTTCCTCCCAAGGCCCTGAAGTCAGAGCGCCTGAGCTATGGACCATATCTAAGGATCGGTTCAGCATTTCTGGCTGGAGAAATTGGTAACATTTGCTAAGAATAAAACCCAAGAGGTTCCAGCAGCCATTTTGAATTAAGTTTCCCACCCCCAACCAGCCTCAGTCCCTCCACTCCACAACTAGGACCTAGAAAATAAAGGAGAGGGGATAAGGGGTTGGGAAAGCTGGGTCCATTAGGTTACTTGAAAGCGGTCGCGCGAAGCCAGAGGCCCGGAGGATCTCGGGTCAGGAGCTCAGCTAACTTAGGGAAAGGACCTCTGAGCTTCGGGACCGCCTGTCAGGGGGCTGCATCCACCGATTTCGACCCCAAGACCCTCGCAGAGTAGGGAGACTCCTTCTTCATTCACTGCACACTTCCCTCCCCTCACTGATGACTCCAAGGCCACCAAAAGAAAGTTACTTCCAATGTTCCTGCGGTAAAGCCTTTCATTTTGTCTCTGCGGAGTGGCAAAACAGCTGGTAGTGCTAGGGGCCTAGATGTTGCTTATCTCAGCCCATAAAAGAAAGAAGGGGAAAAAATGCTGCTTCTAATGCCCAAGTAGGTGTCTCAAGTCTTTTATTAGCTCTCACAACCCAGCTGGGAGTTTTACAGTTGGGGTCCTTTTCAAAGCTTCCCCAAATGTTCTGTCCCGGAGCCTAAACCATTTGCAGTTAATGCTGCGGAGAGAACGCTGGGATTTAAACTAGCCCCATGGTACAAGGGACCAGAAAAGAAAGCGGAAAGATTTTCAGCCGGAGAAGGCCAGTGTTACTTTTTTTTTTTTTTTTTCCCAAAGAAGAAATGAATAGAAATAAAAGTTGCTACAAAGTTTTCAAAGGTCCCAGAATTCATCAGCACACAGTAGGCACAAGTGTCTTTCAAAGGATTTTGCAAATCAAGCGGAGTGTCCATGGTCTAATCAAATGGCCTGGGAGAACACGGTGTAAACAGCCGCCAGAAAACAGCCGTGGTCCGAGAGCACCCCGCATCCGCTTCTATCTAAATATTGCAGATTTGCCTTTGAACATAAGGTGCAGAAACGGCTGGAAGTTTCCTAATATCTGTAAAACTTCAGAGCGAGCCCCTCTTCACTCCTTGAAGTCGGTGGTCAAACTTCCTAAATGCAAAACATGTTCCCCCTTGCCTGATCTGCAACTGCCCTCCTTGATTTTATTGTGCGGTGGCAGAGCCAGCATGTGGTTGCTGAGTAAACTTAGCAAGTCAGAACAATCAGTGGCTTAAAAGATTTTACCTAAACTAAAACTTTCTAACACAAAGGCGTCTGCATTTAGAAACTCCTAACGCTCTCCCAACCAACACCAGACAGCGAAGACTCCAACCTGATAAGCTCTCCAGCCTGAGTCTGAGAGGGGCCGAGGGACCTTTAAGCAACTCCTCCCGCCCGGGGACCCCTTTGCTGGCACCGCGGCTGTGGAGCAAAGCTCTGGGAGGGCGCGGTGGGAGTGTGGAGATGGAGACATCGGGGCTAGCCGACTACCTCCCCAAATTTTCCCCCCAAGGAGAATGTAAAGTTCCAAATATGTACCTCCATCCAGAAAGCTCCGGCTTTCCTCTTACCGACAGCATAGGGAAACAAGGGAAGCATAGCATCTCAACTAGTTAACCTGCTGCTCATTGTACCTACCCATAAATGGCATCTTTATCTCTCTTTAAAGCGTCATTGACCGAGGAACCCATGCTGGGGGCCATGGCGTTGGTGTGAGCTGTGTGCGGGTACTGATGCGAATGCAGAGGAGGCCCGTGGTTCAGGTGGTGGACCGGCTGCATGGACCTGGCAGCATGCGGGTCCCCATACATCGTGGAGGGGATGCCTACTCCATCCATGCCCCCGTAATGGGGTAGATCGTCGTACTGCATGACAAATAGGAGATAAACAAGGTTCAGAAGGCCAGGCGGGTACAAGGGGAACGGCAGGGCATGGAGCTTATTATATAATGTCAGTCCAGCTGGGTCCTTCCACCCGGAATAAGGTGGCCTTGCATCTCTCAAGTTGAGATTTCGTATTTAAAAAATAATTTTTAAAAGTGAAAATTCCAGAATTCTCTGTGAGATTTGGTGGGGTTGTGGTCTTGCCCTAACTTGTATCCCTATCAACTAGTTCAGAAATTCAGGATCCTTTGGCAAGGAAGGAAGGAAGAAAGAAGGAAAGAAAGGGAGTCATTCTCCCAGAGGGCGGAAGATAAAATGTGCATGTCTCTAGAGGAGGAAATTCAAAATTACAATAATAAAACGTGCCAGGACAGTGTAGCAAATCCGCCTAGTTTCACAGCCCCTTCACATCAGGGGGAATTTAAAAAAAAGTTACGATGGGAACAGCTATGCCAAGCACGTGAATTCAGACAGGCTTCTCATTTTATTTCCCTGCCAGCGTGAGGTTAGGCAGTCCTGCAAGACACTGCATTTCCTATGCTTTCCAAGACAAACTCTGCTAAATTATTCAAAACTGTCCCCTTACAAGTGGAACTTAGCAAAGGTAGCTTTCACTGTATATTAAAGCTGAATGTACACATTGGGCAATTTCTCTCCAAAGTTAAAGAAAAATCTAGAGTTGAAGCAATTAATTATACTTTCTTTTCCTCTATGAACTTTCTCCCCATCCTAGAAGTCAATGAGGCAAATGTTACTCAGTCTGTTGAAAGTAAATTCAAAGCAAACACACATACAAACGCTATCTTTCTCTTCCAGAAAAACTTTCATATTGATTGGCATTTTGTGTGCAAAATTTAGCTATTTAGAATTTCTAATTGTTTCATTCCAGGCCAGTTCTTCCCCCAAGATTTGGAGGTGCTGAGAGTGAAATGATTTTCAAAGAAAAGAGGAATTGCCACTTTCATCTCCTTAAAGCCAGAGGTGTGAAAGGAGTTTGGAAGAACGCTGACATTTGTCTGAACCAAAGGAGTAAAGAAAAATGTGTCAGCCTAGTAACTTTCTTTTGCAAACAGGGCTTTGAGGGCCAGGACACAAATTATGCAAGGAAGGCTTTTTGTGGACCTCTTTTCTTTTAAGAAACTACCCCAGTTGGATTGTCATTGTCTCACTTTACTCTCACTACATTTCCATTCAAATAGGAATATTGGGGAAATTAGTATTGCATTTTTAAAGTGAGTAGCTATGTGCTTAGTATCCAATTAGTACAGGACTTAGCAAAGAAAAACTTTCAAAGTACTACCTTGCATAAAAATCTATGCAAATGAAAATTACTGTTATAAGATGAATATTTTCTGATTCAAATTCTGCTAAATTGTGTCAAAGTTCTTTGCTTTGAAAAGTTAGATGTTTCTAATGAAATAGCAAAGATGAGTATAATCGGTAACACATTAGAAGTTTCCAGCAGCGTATTTTAGTTTTAAAATAGCTTTAAACTGATCTCTGAACGCTCAGATTGTAAGATTAAGTGTCTAGCTTTTAATTTATTTTATTTTATTTTTGTTTTTAACGGTTGATTTCTCGATCTTGCATTTTTATTTATATAGATACTGGTTAGGAATCGATAGAAAACTTGAATACTTGAATTAACAATTATACATAACATACATAAAGTCTACAAATGCACTGAGTAAATCCTCTAGCTTTAGGCCACGGCTTTAGGAGTCACATTCAAAGAGAAAGAGAGAGAAAAAAGCAAACTTTTTAGCAGTGTCTTTCAGCCACATTTCAATTTCATCTCACATTTGAGTTCCACAATTGTTAATACGTACCCTTTGCGCCATCGGCCTCCCTGGCTCCCTTCCTACTTCAACTTCTAATATATCCTCTTTAAGGCCAGTGTGAAAAGAAGCAAATACGCAAACTCCCCGGGAAAAAAAAAAAAAAAAAAAAGCACGGCGAAAAATCCCTTAACGTCTCCAGCAAAGTGAGCCACCAGTCCCAGATCTTCGGTCTATGGGACCTGAAGCACAGCTCCCGAGTCACTGGGCATAAAAGCGCTCCGTTTCCAAGACAGCAGCGGGGCAAAAAAAAAAAAAAAAAAAGGAAAAGAAAGAAAGAAAAAAGGAAAATAAAAAGAAAGCAAGAAAAGCAGGTCTTCTCCTCTCTCCCCAAAAAAATCAGTTAGGAAAAGAAAAAAAAAAAAAAAAAAGTGCCCCTCAGACCCAACTACCAAATCTCATGGCTTTCTGCCACTCCGGCTGTCAATCACAGGCGAGGTTGTCAACGTGGTGAATGAATGATCATCCGCTCTGTCTTCTTCTGGTCAGAACACCTCAAATGTTAATATTCAAATGCACAAAGCCCTAGCGCTCTCTTTCTTTGAATCAGTCCTAATTCCTAATCAGTTTTTCTCTTCGCTCGCTCTCTTTCTCTTTCTCTCTCACTCTCCGTCTTTTCAACTGCTGCACTGGAGGGAGATTAGAGGAGGAGGGTTAAAAAAAATGTCTGTCTGAGTTTGTCTTAAAGGAGCCACGATCGATGCTGCCCGCTTGCAGTCCCCGTGCGTGTGTAAAGTGTGTGTTGCACAGGCGGAGAGGTGGATTCCGACCAGAATGCTAGAACCCGGAAGTAGTGGTGGCCATAACAGGTCGCGTCTTACACAATGCATTGGGCTGCAGCAAGTAGGCTCTTCGGCAGGGGTGGGTGCGCGAAGCGAGCTCTGGCCACACTGGAGAGGCAGAGAGGCGCTCCATTAAATAGCACGCACAGGCACAAACACTCATACATCCAGGGCACACACACACACAACAGCGGGGAGCAGCACCCGGCCATTGGCTTTATTTTCCATATTCTTCCCCCTCCCCCCCTCCAGACTCTTTCCCTAAAGCGGACTCTCTTGAAATAAATTGAGAATAAACGCGAGGCATGCAGCAGCGGGAGTTATTTTGCACAGGGTTGTGCGCATAGACTTAATGACTTTCCTCGAAATTGTTGGGGTCTTTCCTCGAAATTGTTCGGGGCAGAGGGTGCAGAAAGTGCTGGATTCTCAGAACTAAACACCCCAAGGGGAAAAGTCAAACCCGGAGCGTGGAAGAGAAGGAGAAGCAGGAGCAAAGCTGGGAAAGGCTGTGTTAAGGAGTCCTGAGAACCTGGGGTGGAGAAGGTTCTGGCTTTCTGCAGACCCTTTTTAGAGTTTTTTGCTGACAGAGGTGGATGCCGGTCCCCTGCATGGGAAATGCTTGCATTTTCTCACTTTGAGTCTGGGCATCCCGGCGGCCCGAGCCCCAGCCCGGGCGTCCTGAGCTAAGTGAGAGAGGGAGGGAGGGAACAATGAACTGAGCGCAGGGAATGTGCCCCCAGCGCCTGTTTACAAACATGAAGCTATTTATGTTCGCAAGAAAGCGAAACCCGAAGCGGGCGCTGAGCACCCAGTGCTCGCGGGCGTAGCCGGGGTCGGGAAGTCGAGAGGAGGGAGGCTCTTTCTCCGATCCGCTCCGAACGAGGCGGCAGTGCGCCCAGGTCGCGGCGCAGAGGGGCCGGCGCGCTCAGCTCCGGCTGCGGCCGCGCCGCCTTTGTCTTCGAGGAGCCGAGGGGCTCCGGCCTCCGCCGCGCTCGGGCCTGGAGGGGCCCGGTGCCCCCAGCTCTCTTCCCGCGTCAGCCTCCTCTCCCCCCGCCCCCAGCAGCCTTTCTTCTCTTCTTTTCGCTTTCCTGTTCCCAACCCTGCTCAGAGAAAACTCCGGGTGCCAGAGAAAAAGAAATCCATCACTGGAGCCGAGATTTCAGACAAAAAGCTGCTCCTACACGAAACTCGGAGACTCCAGTCAAGCCACCGGTTTTAACTTTCTCCCTTTAAATATCTTTTTTCTGGGCTTAAAAAATGATCTCTTTCTTTATTCTCTTACTCTAAACTAGTCCTTTATTATTATGCGTATTGGTGTTATTTTAGTATTTATTTTGCTGCCCTTTCGGCTCTGATTTGCCGAGATGGCTCAGAGGCAGCAGCTCGACGAGCAGGCTAGAAACCTCACAGCACCGAGCAGGGCTCGCAGCTCGCACGGCTCGGAGTATGATTTGTTTCCTCCCTCCAGTTGAAACCTCACAGAAAACTCCCCCTGCGGTCTGTTGGAAAATGAACTCACCCAAATCTCTGTAGGCAGCCGTGGAGGAGGGCTCGGCCAATCAGGAGGCGCCCCCGCCAAGGCGGCCGCGCATTGGCTACCAGGAAAATCAATTATCAAATAATCGATCAGCAGGGAGCTTCGATCTGCCGGGAATGCAAACTGCCTGTCGCGATTCCCGCCCCGAGGATAGCCAAAAGACTGACTCCTCCAAAGAAGTCAGCATCACGCGCCCATCGCCCCCACCCCCATTCCACCCTGCTGGCTGTGGATCAAACTCTAACCCCAAAGGGGGTGTAGTAGGTAGGAGGAAGAATTTTGAGAAAGATTAGGTAGATCTCTTCCTGTTGCGAATGTTGGAAAAGGTAGAGAGAGCTCTAAGATGTATTGAATCTGACTGTTAATGCGCAGAGCAAAAGATAATTTGCATCCGTGCGCGAGATAGGACTGAAGTTTCTGTTGAGTGAGCTTCGGAAGAGAAGGGGCACAGGGAGAGTCTCAGAACCTAAATCTGGGATCAGGTTCCACCCAGCACACGCAACCTCCCTGGATCTGTTTTTTTTTTTTTTTTTTTTTTTAGTATTTCTCACGAATCAACGCCAGGTTTTCCCGATACTGGACCGTTTCAATAAAGCCGAGCAGCTGAACCTTCTCAGCCTCCTGTGCACCACCTCCACCCCGACACCAAACTGGACCCATGTGTGACTTGAGGGCTTACACACGGTTCCCCAAAAGCCCTTAGATGCGTTTTGTCTGAAAAGAATACGACTGATTTAAACAAACAAACAAAAATCTCCAGAATCCCTCATTATTTGCTTCTCTATCTCCGACCTCCAAGTTTTATGATCTTTTACTTTTGTTCATCCCATACATGTGTTGCACTTCTGGCACATATACACCAGTACATCTTGTGGGTTAAAGCAAGCTCGTGTGTCAAAGCCAAGGGAACGCAGGTGAAGAAGCAAAGCCTTTATATCCGTGCTTGACCCCCCAGTGTGAACTTGGAAGCAGAATTTCAGGCCAAGGTAGAACCTCACCATCCCAGGAAGGAGATTTTCTGTTTAGTTCTTGGGAAGTTGCGTTGGCTAGGCCAAGCAACACACTCCTTTTCCTATTACGGTGAGGACTAAGCTAGGTCCGCAGCCTGCAATCCCATCCCGGAACCCCAGCCCTAACGCCTTCTGAAGGTTGCTCGCGGGGGTGTGAGCACTGTCTCTTTTGCAGGCCCGTAAGACATCAGAGCGGCTTGGGGTTGGGGTGCGAGGGAAGAGGGGAGTCAAACCAAATACCGACAGGGGCACATCTACGTTTACAAGTGTTAAGCGAACTGCAAGGAAAATGGTCTAAGTATAATCTGACTGAGAGAAATTTACTGTGAAACTTCGACCGTGGTCATTACAGATCCACAGGTTCTCTGGCAAAGGCATAGGTATCGGCCTTGGAGTTAGCTCAGTCTGTGCCCACGTTTTCAAATTTGGAGGAAGTTAGTTTTTTGTTTTAAGTTAGTTTTTTTGTTTTCCACTACTGAGTATTTATTCTGTATTGCTGCTTTCTGGTTCATTTTGTTGTTGTTTTACTTTGCAGCAGAGATGAAAAAAGAAGGTTCAGGTAAGTCACTCTTTTTTTAAGCATAAGCCAAAACTTCAAAGCAGTATTGTGTGCTTTCACTATGATTGTTTAGATTACCTTATAAATGGACTTTATAAATTAACTACCCAAAGATTTTCTTTGGAGAAAGAGATAGTGTGAGTTTGTGGCCTTAAAATAAACTCTTATGAGTTTTGAAAAGTGTCTTCTTTCTACCACTCTCTCCTTCTCCCTTTTCCATTTATAACTGTGAACCAAAGCCTACTTCTAGGCCTTTATAAGATTACGTCTGAACAATCACTAGACTAAAAACACTTTTACAATGTAATTACAGTAGTACAAATTGTTTGCCCAAACCTCATTCTGGATAAGGATTTTACAATTAGCAAACAGTTATTACAGTTGGGGCTTGCTGAGAGAAACTGCACAGAGGATATTTAGAGTTGCAGTATAGTAGCCATAAAAAAAAAAAAAAATCCCTTAGCAAGGCAGCAATTAATCATCTATTAAAAGGAAGAAGTAAAGGGACAGGTTTAGGTATCTTAATAAACTACCACGGATATTTATGCCTATTCTGGGTTGGCACCTACCGTACCTTGTTTCAGGTACTTGCTTTTTTACTTTTTAAGGCAATAGCGCATTTAATGTACAAAAAACTTGGCTTGGTGAACGGTTCTTCTGGCCCTTACCCATAACTCTGGTGACACAGACCTTCCCTACTCTGTTTATCCTTCATATTCCAGAGCACCTTCCCAAAGATAGAGAAAAGAGATTCTAGAGAGGCAGGTTGGGCCCCAGGTTTTTATTGTTTCTGCTCTCCTATAAGGAGGCATTTAATACACACATAGCTCCTCTAGGCTGTTGGTACAGTCCTCTCAGAGAACTTCCCTGTAACTTTCTGTTCGCCTATAAGGAATTGTGCCTGTGGAAAGGCCTATATCTGAATTAAGCTTTTGTCCCAAAAGTTCACACAGATGAGTCAGCTCAAAAACCCTCAGAAATAAAAGAGGCACCTCTTAAGGTAAAATGTGTGTGTATTTGCCAGCCCAGAATAAACAAAAGCCTGCTAATCAATCGAGTTTGGCAGCTGTGTTCACAGAATGATAAGGGTTTATCATCTGCCACCTAATTTTAAGATGCCTGTTAAAACGTTGTGATTGCTTTTCAGGTTGTCCTGTGGCGTGTAGGTTTGGGACTTGTACTTCAAGAACATTTATCCTCTGCATCTCACCCCTACATTAGCATTTGCATTTCAAAAAAACAGAAGTAAGAGGAGGGAAAGACAGTTTAAAGAAAATAGATTTTAAATCTAGTAGAGATAATAGAGGAATGCTTGGAG